TTTATTTGATTATAGGAATATGCTTATTAATAAGAATTTATAATAATTAGCTATATTGTAAATTCTTTTATAGGTTATTAAATGGGTATGGTATATTTTTAAGACTTTTGCTACATAATTATATTTCTTTTTTTATTTCGTGATTCAAAAAAAATAAAATTGATATAATATCTAGTCTCTAAGAGCCTGTATACTAGGGAACAAGAAAAGCTGTTTTATTAAATCTATAATTTATGATTGATTGGTGTTAAAAACCTTGATTTGATCGAATTTCTAAAAAACCGAAAAATTATGATTTTGATGAAAATTCTATTACCTAATCTTTTAACGTTAGCTCGCTGACAGTAAGTGTCCGCCCTCTTATAGAAAAATTGTGAGGTTAAATAAACTTTTGGATTCTAATAATTTTTTTTCAATATTATTTTCGATCTCCAAAACTTTTCAATTCAAAATATAATAATATTTAATATCTTTTAATTTTAAAGTAAATAGTTATGAATGATAAAGCATTATAATTACTCTGATTTTGATGATGAAAATGATTCTTATATAAATGTGAATTAAATATTTTTACATATTTTTAAAAATTAATCTATATAAAATGAAATTTTAGAAATAGGCAATATTAAAAATGTTAATAGTTTTTAGTCTAATAATAATATTTGATTAATTAATAAATAAAGTTTTTTCTGTCTTTTCCATTTTATTTCATTATTTAAATTATATATAAGCTTACATTTTAACAAGTTTAACTTAAAAAAATTGTTTTTGGCAATATCAAAACACAGTAGGCCAAAGAAGACAGAGAAAATAGCTTAAATTGAATTTGTATAATATGCAATATGAAATTTAATATAAGCTACCATGATGTAAAAAATCATTCAACGTAGGAGTAACATATTTCCAATGTAAATTATATAAATTATCAAATAATATCCAGCCAACCATACTTCAAAAACAATAATCTATATGATAATAATACCGCAATAGCCAAAACGATATTCATCTATTATCCGATAAAAAATTCTTTTAGTTATTTATCTACAGATTGCGTTACAAACTTATTTCCTACTTTTTCTTGATTCAAATATAGCCGGCAGCATAAAAATTTAGAAGAACAAAGCCTCAAAAATGATGTTAAATATCATATGAAACTAAGAAACATATCATAGACTATTTGAAAGAAAATTATTCATTCTCCTTGCTAACTGAGGAATCAAATAATAGAGATATTAAAATATTCCCAATATGCGGTGTTATTTTAATAATGAAAGAGGTGTTTCAAGCAAACTTCCAAAAACCCCGGTAGTTTATTTTAGCATTCAAGAGAGCCGAAATCATCATAGACGAACTATGGGAACCGATCAACCTACGGTATCACGTGTCCAGCCCGCATGTAGACGATTTCGATAGTTTTATAGGACTCTCTTTCTGGGGAGACGATAACATGTCCATTTCCTTCCAGGAAGCCGCTCTCATCTTTAACATCCCCACATATGCAATAGTTCATCTCAATGCCAAAGAGGTGCTGGCAGCAGGAGTTGGGCCCTATTAGCTATCAACAAAGATGGAGTCAAAAGTATGCTATTACGTTTTCAAAAAAGAAGGATCTAGATTTCTATTCATTGAAATTGTAATCACTCAAATCTTAGCCAAACAAGGATTACCTCAATCGATCTCTCAAAACATTCAAAGGGTACGTACAAATGAAAACTCAGCTGACGAATCATCAAGAGTTTGGATAAGAGATTGACCCCTTTGTTCAATAGATATAACATTGACGCCCTAGCCCTAGACTATGCAATCCAGCAAGTCGATGACATTTCCTCCTTGTTCGGGACCGAAACAGTTGATACCCCTTCAACCCAATCTGGAACCTAGAACAGATATCTATCGATTCAGGAGACCTACATCTACATTGAAAAATCTAAATTCAAAAACAACTCATTCTAAGAACGATCATCCCCCACTCAATATAATTATATATATCGTGTAAAATAATACATTCATTGTAGTTCCTTTTGTATTTTTGTTTCGAAATTATACTCCATTTTGAATTTATATATATATATATACCAGGGTTGCCATGTAACCCCCATCAGCGGGAGACTCCCGTAATTTTTTAATTTACACGCAAACATCTCTCCCGCAAAACTACCGCAATTGGAAATCTCCCGCAAAAATCTACCGCAATTTTTTTTTTTAGTATTTTAACATTTTTAATATATAAATAATAATTTTGAGAGACATTAATTGATGATTTTTATAATTTTAAAATAATTTTAAATATTTATTCGAAAAACATGTCTAGTTTGTAAATTTCTTTCTATCCTGTTTTATTTTTATCCAATAATAAATCAACATCATTTCATTCATATAAGTCAGTACAGGGGAGTATATCAACATCGATTGCAATACAAAAATATTCTCAAATAATAAATAATACAGATACAACTACATTTGCGGAAATCGTATACATCTATCATGTAGTTCAACATCCACAGAGCTATATCATCACAATGTGGGTCGAATCTTTTCTCATGATATTTAACGACTCCAATATAAGTGCAAACCTTACTTGTGGCAATAAAAATGAGCAAGGCTATCACAAGTGTTTTAGTACCTGAATCCTAGAGGTCAATTCTAGACGATTTGAAAGATGGGCATCCATATGCATTTCTAACAAAATAAACTAATAAGGGAAATATTAAAACATTTCCCTCGATCCTTCGCTATTTCAATAAGAATAAGAACATTTCAATAAAACTGTTAAAATTTTTTCCTCGGATAGTAAAAAATTCGACGATGTAGCTAGCCACATAATAGTAAATAGAGCTGATTCAGGGTTATCAATGATTTGCATGTCAGCTTTCTGCGCTGATAATGCCTCTGTAAATTTTAGCAAACACCAAAGTTACCGAATTGAGGCAGCACAATAATGAATTCAGAGTTGTTAAAAGATCGAATCAAAAGATCGACGATCCTGGATTCGATCGCAAATTTGTCAATTTTACGAGATTTATGATTCTGACTTAAATTGAGGATCGAGATCGAGATCATTTTGTTTAAAATTCGATCCCGATCTTTTTAAAAATTAATTTTTTACTTAAAAACAATAAATAAAATAAAAATTTTGAAAATTAAATTAAAATATTATTTTTAAAAAAAATATCTATCTTCATATTTTATCAACTTCCATTATCAACTTCCATTATCAACTTCCATTATCAACTTCCATTATCAACTTCCATTCCACCATTTATTTTATAGATATATTTATTCATTTCCTAAATTTTACGAGATTTAGAGCTCTTACAAGTTATTTAACATAAATTTATAATAATATATTAATATTTATTTTAATAGGTAAATGTAAATGTCCATTATAGATTTAGAAGATTCTATTGCTTCTACTATTGATGTAACAGCAGATATAAGTGAGAATGAGAATCTTTTACCATTTTTGAAATTACGTAAGTATTTTACTTTATGTGAAATGGATGAAAGCAACTCTTATAATATGATCAGCACCAAATGCCGTCTCTGTAAAAAGATAATATCATCTTCCAAAATATCATCCTCGAACTTAAAGAGACATTTACAGGTAATTCTTTTAAATTTTTTTTATTTAATAATCTTAATGTCAACATGTTTAAATTTAATTTATTACATTCCTGAGTTGAGCAGATCCTACAGAAATAGAATCTAGATACAGATTCTTTATAAAAAAATGAATTATTAGATACAGTATAATTAATAAAATATTGGATGAAGAGTTAATCTTGGTTTTGTTATTTATATATAATAATTAGGCATTTATTTTTTAATATTACTATTATATTAGTTTAATTTTCAAAAGAAGAGTATTTATAATAAATGGAAGTGTAATAACTAATAATTAAGCCTTTATAATGTATTTTGACTTTCTTTAATATAATTAAAACATCCAGTTCAATGTTATTTGTATTGAACTTAGCAATGTTTCACCAAAAGAAAAATAAATATCTATTCTATTATTTCTTTATTATAATATGTTAAATCTAATCAATTAGTATTATAGTTTCAGTTTGAGCTTGAGCTTGATTATATAATCCTCTTGACAACATTTTTAGGGCTTTTTTAAATAATATATTTTGAATTGAAAGTATTTTTTGTATCATTTGACTCAATCCATAAGTTCTTAAATGCCAAAAAGCCTCATTATATTCATAATAGGAAAATACTTCATCAAAATCTTTGGCCCATATCATCTTGGGCAACTTTTAATAATGATAGACAATATTGTAAACTTAAATTTTCAAGATAACCTACCCCCTTTTAACCACTAATAAAACATACTTTAATATGTTTAACAATTTGTTGAACCCTTAATCCATAGTTCTTAAATGCCAAAAAGGCTAATTATATTCATAAATAGGAAAATATTTTATCAAAATCTTTAGCCCATATCATCTTGGGCAACTTTTAATAATGATAGACAAAGACAATATTGTAAACTTAAAATTTAAAATAACCTATATGAACCTTTTTTAACCATATATAAATTAAATAATATACTTTAATATGTTTAACAAAATTTGTGTTGAAACCTTTATCATTTTTTTGTTTATATAGGTTTTACATTCAGCCTGTACATTGTTTTTTTTAACTTAAAATTTCCATATAAAATTTTAAAAATGAAATTTGATTCAGGAGAAGTTATTTTCATCCAACTTTGTTACATACTATTTTTTTCTTTTATAAAGAAAAAGCCAAACACCTCAACGAATTCTCTACACAAAAAAATATATCACTGCAAAACCAAATTAGTTCTGGTTGCAAATCCAGACAATCTAAATTAAATTTTAACAATCTAAACATTCCAGCTGTATCGCAAAAAACAGCAGACAAGGTTATCATGGATTTTATTATTGACACCTTCCAACCATTGTCTCTGGTTGATCATCCTTCATTTGAAAAAATGATTAAAACTTTTTTTCCTGCGACAAAAATTATTTGTCGCCAAACACTGGGCAACAGGATATCTACTTCCTTCTCTTATATGACGACAAATCTTATAAGAGATTTGTCTGAAGTTTCTTATGTATGCACCACTGCTGATTGTTGGAGTGGTCATCGAAGGTATATTATATTTATATGAATTTTATAATGTTTATTTTATTAGGGCTTTTATTGGACTTACTGCACATTGGCTGGATCCTTTAACCCTCAAGAGAAGGTCAGCCGCTTTGGCACTGAGGAGGATAATTGGGAGGCAAACATATGATGTTTTGGCCAACGAAATCATGGGTATCCACAAGTTCTATAAAATTCATAATAAGGTGGTGAAGATGGTGACTGACAATGGAACCAACTTTGTCAAGACATTTAAGTAATATTTATATTTAGCAAAAAATATTTAAATAAATTTATTTTTTCTAGAGTTTTTGGAGAAAATGAAGAAGGTATGAGGATATGGAATTGATAAATTTGGATGACATATTATCCGTTGATGACCCAATTATTTCTACTATCAGCCTACCAAAACATCAACGTTGTTGTTGCCATAATCTTAACCTTATTGCAACAACAGATGCGGAGATGGCAGATAGTGATCTCAATTATAAACGAATATCTAGATCCACTTTTGCAAAATGTTTTGCTTTAATTAATAAATAAAATATGTCGTCAAAAATGGCGGATATTTTATTGGAGAAATTGGGAAGATATTTAATAGCTCCCAACAAGACAAGATGGAATTCTTATTATCAATCCATGAAATTAATAGATAAGATGCTTTCTGAAAAGTTTTCAGAAGTAGAACAAGTATGTGATCAAATTGGATTTGCAATGTTTAGGCAAGAGGAATGTTTTTTTGTTAAAGAGTATGCAACAGTAATACAATGATATTCTCTAAATAAATTTAAATTTTATAGGTTATGGTGGCGATCTCGTTAAAAATCTTGGAACGGGAGGATAATATAGAGAAGGGATATCTAACTCCCGTTCTATCGATATTGATAGATAAATTAACGAAATTTAGCTGCCTGCGGTATTGTCAGCCCCTTGTAGATAGTGTTCTTAGAGGTATTGATAAAAGGTAATATTTTTTTATGCAATTATTTTATATTATCAGATATCTGCAAAATATATTAAAAAATTGCAAAGATCTGGCAAATTTAGTAAAATATTAACAGGCCAGTTCTACTAAACCTCTGGTATCTATTAAAATATTAATGGGCCTTTGAAGACATTAAAAATTTATTAGATTATTTGAATTTTAAGCTAATATTTTGATTAATATTCTTTGTAAATAAATTACAATGTTAATTCCTTTGTATATTAAGTATTAAGTTTACATTTGATCAATATTTATGATATGACCCAAATATAAATAAATACCATACAGATGATGTGCCAGACTTGACTGTAAAATTTAAGGGTTAAGTTTTGCAGATACTTGATTTGATTTAAAAATGAACACTTATTTAATAATAAATTAATTATCATTTCATAATATAGATTTCCTTCATTGTATGAAGACAGTAACATTTTGGCAGCCATGATTCACCCGAAATTTAAACTTAATTGGCCTTATATTAATCTGCCACAAAATATGATGGTAAAAGAAAGATTAGTTGTCCATTTGAAAAATATGCAGGAACAACCATATGCGGATACCTCAAATGAATGTATGGATGACATTGATGCTTTTTTGGGGAAAAATACTGTACAAAATGCTTGTTCCGTTAAAAAAAAATTTATTCAAATGATGATTCCATGAATATTTTTAATACTTATATTAATTTTAAAAAAATATTTATTGATTATAATACACCTTTGCCATCAAGCGCTCCTGTGGAGCGCTTGTTTAGTAAAGCTAATCATGTTCTAAATGAAAGACGCGGATGTTTAAATGATGATAATTTAGAAAAAATTTTATTATTAAAAGCTAATTTTAATTATAAATAAATATATTATATTTATTATTCAATTAACAATAAATTTCTACCATATTTAATTTATTTTTATATTAGTTAATTTTGCATCGGTTATATTATATTATTATTCAATTACAATAATTTTTAACATATATTAGTTAATTTTGCATCGGTCAGAAATTTCCTTCAGAAATTTAAATAGAAAAAAAGATCGGATCGCGATCTTTTTTTAAAAAAAGGTCGATCCTGGATTTCGATCCTCTTTTTTTGAAAAGATCGCGTACGGGGATCGGTTAACAAGCCTGAATGAATTAATACCAATAGGCTGTATATGCCATATACTACATAATTCTTGCAAGAAGGCAATAAATGTACTATCTGTGGATGTCGAAATAATTGTGATGAAATGTTTTAACGAATTTAGTCATCAACTAAAAAGATTTAATGAATTAAAAGAGTTGGTAAAGTGGTCTGACTTGGAATGGTGTGAGTTGTTGCGATATATACCTATTAGGTGGTTGTCATTAATACCTGCCATCGATAGAATTTTAAAATTTTACAAACCCTTAAAAAAATACTTATTAAATAAAGATTTTAAAAGCTGTCCTAAAATTTTGAAAAATTTTTTAGAGTATGAAATGGCAGAAGCATATTTGGGATTCGTTTCACATGTAGGAAATCTAGTTCATGCAGTTAATATTCAGTTGCAATCAGTATTCTTTATAAAAAATATTCACAAAATCATGCTACAGCGCTGTTTATCTCTACAGTTAAAAATTGATAATAAATTTTATGGCGCTTGTGCTAAAAATATTATATTATAATGTTCAAATAATACTCTAATACATTTTTAAATGAAGCAGATATTTTTATTAAGACAATTTTAAAATAATTACAATCAAAATTTGATTTTAATAACTCTATTTACAAATGTATAAATATTATGACCTTAGAACAGAAACCATCAATTGATGGTTTTTATAATTAATAAATATATTTAAAATACCGAAAGACATTGATTTCTTGTTTGAGGAGATTGTATTTCTCTCTATTATTTATGATTCGCCAAAATACTTAAAGTTAGATGGTCTAAAAGCAGAGGAGAAATGGGTATTTTTCGTAATAACGATAAATCCCCATGCTTGGAAAAAATATGCAAGTATGTCTTCTTCTTACCTCATTCTAATGCCTCATCCGAGCGCATTTTAAGCCTGGTGAGGACTGCCTGGAAAAAGGAGAGAAATAGGATTGCTTTAACAACATTAGAGGCCGAGCTAATGATTAAACAAATATATAATGTCATGCCAGGAATTTTATAAATATCTCAATAACGACGGTAAACATTTAGTTCTATTATTTAAATCTCAAATAAAATATAATTAAGTTTTAGCAATGGCGCCATAAAATTTATTGTCAATTTTTAACTGTAAAGAAGAATACATTTGCAGCATAATTTTATGAATCTTTGTTAAGATTCTTCTGATTGCAATTACACATTAACAGCATGTAGTAGATTTCCTACATGTGAAATCATTCCTAAATATACCTCTGCCATTCATTATTGAAAAAAATTTTCAAAATATTAGGACAGCTTTTATAATTTTTATTTAAGAAATATTTTTTTAAAGGTTTATAAAATTTTAAAATTCTATCGATGGCGGGTATTAACATATCGCAACCAACATTGTGCTGACACAATTCTGTAAATACACTCTGTTTTTACCAAATTCACTGAGGCATTATCAGATCAGAAAGCTGAAATGCAATTTATGATAATCTCGAATCTGCTATATTTACCATTATATGGTTAGCTATGTCTTTGGATTTTTCGCTATTTGAGGGGAAAAAATTTAATAGTTTTATTGAAACGACCTTAATTTTGATGAAATAGCGGAGGATCAAGGGAAATATATTAGATGCATCTGTTAAAATTACATATGTATGCCCATTTTTTTCAAATCGTCAAGAATTGACTTCCTGGATTTAGGCCCTAAAATATTGATGATAGACTTGCTCATTTTTGTTCTACAAGTATAGTTTTCATTTATATTAGAGTCGTTAAATATTATGGGAAAAAGATTTTACCAACATTGTGATGCTAAGTATCTCTGTGAATGTTGTACTACAAAATAAGTGATTAAAATTCCCGCTACTGTAGTTTCATCTGTATTATTTCTTATTTTTGGAGTACCTTATTATGTATTTAAACGTGATACGTGTTAATTAAGCGCATATCCCTTGTAAAATTAAAATCGTTTTTTTTTTATAAAATTTTATCTTGTGTTTACATATTTAAAAAAGATCGTTGGTTTTTTTTATAAATTAATATATTTTAATAAATCAAGATGTTATTTTATTTTGCAAAATAGTTACCGACTTTGTATTTATATAAACTAAATAAAAAATAATATGCGCCCGCAAAAAATTTTTTTTAGCAATTTTATATTTCTACCGCAATTTTTATATTTCTCCGGCATAATACCAAATTTCTCCCGCAATTTGAAAATTTTGACCTGGCAACCCTAATATAGACATGTGCGCCGACAGCATTTTCTGCGACGTTTTATTTAAAACGATCGGCAGGCCGCGGCGTCAAATATTTTTTTAACTTAAATTTTATAATTACAATTATAAATTAATTGGAAACACTTTTAAAATAAAATTTATGCTTTATTATGTTTATATAACTACAATTTGATGATTTTATTAAATTATAATTATCATGTATAAATATTATTTTATTTAGATATATAGGACATAATAATGATCTTTAAGAGTTCAGAGTGAGCCCAGTTATAGAAACACGCTCTCTAGGTGCTCGTAGCTGGAAATCACGGGACCTTTCTAGCTAATATTGAAAGTTTAGGAAGATCCAATGTTCTTATCTTCCAAAAATCTATCTTTTATCTCCTAAATGATAAGGCGAAAATAATAAATAACACTCTTTTTCTAGACTTGCTAAATAGTCTTGTTGTTCCACTTATAATTATGAATAGATATTTCGTAGCCTATGATAAATAATCGAATGAACAACTTCCGTCGTTTCACAGTTGGTTAATTTGTCCGTGTAAGGCAACAGAGAGGTAGCGTATTGACATAAAAATTGTACCGGAGTAATTTTTTATTTCTTTAAATATTCATTTACTATGTTTATAGATTGAAAACGAGAATCCAAAAGTGCTCGACCTAAGTAAAAAATAAAACAAAGAGAAAACATATAAAAAAATAATAATTTAAGAGTTTTAAAATACTACCTGAAGATCGATTATTAGAAATTGTGATCAAAAAGCATATTTTAAGGGATTCTATGGAAGGACTTTCATATTCTTTTACTATTAAATGATTTTTAACATTTAATTGTTTTAGTTCTGCTATGTTTATATATGTTATAATGGCAATAAAATAAAAATCATTAATTTAAATTTCCTTTATGATAAAAAATAAATTTTATATGATGAGCTGTTGATTGCATTAAGATAATATTTTATTACTCCTTATGTAATAATTAATGGTCTTATATAAAATATTACATCAAAAATTATAAAAGGATAA